GGGGGGAAGCGCTTGGAGGGCACCCAGGCACACGCGCCCACCTGCAGGTGGTAGTGCTGCACGCGGCCCGCGAAGCCGCAGTGCTTGTCCACCAGGAAGCAGAAGCGCCTCTTCTCCTCCAGCAGCGCTTCTTTGCAGCCCTCGGCGATGAACCTCTGGATCTCGCTCTGGCGGGAGGTCACGGTCTCTAGGTACTAAGACAGGAGGTAACGGTTACACAGGAACCACACCGCGATCGAGCAGCCGTGCGGCCCCACCTGTATCTTCTGCCATCTGCACACGCCGTTCGTTTGGATCACGGACTGAGTGCTCAGCGCAGACAGAGGTCAGACAAAATGACGGAGTCGCCACCCGACCCGAGCAGACGCCGGCCTCATTAAGGCCTGACTCACGCGGGAGCTGCCCGAGGCCCTACATTCCAGGGGCCGTTGGCACAAAGCATCGCTTTGTACTCTGGGGACAGGAGCCGGGTCGACCGGGAAGCCACGGGCTCTGGAACCAGAAAGTTTGAGCTCAACCCCCCGTTCCAACTGCCAAGCATACGACTGAACCTGGCCCCCCCCCCCGTAAAACGGGGTAACAATGCTTACGGACCCCGAGGAGCGAACGCCGTTAGTAAAGGCCACTGGCTAATCATCCTTAACCCCGGGAGAGTCTGCGGCGCTCACGCCACGTCCAAGGGCCGATTTCTAACTTGAAAGGCAGCTCAGCAGGGAGTGGACGAAGTGGGGGGCTGACCGAGGGGCAGCCTCCCCGACGCTGCAAGGCCACCCGCACCCAGGCGCCGGGAGCTCACCTCCATCTCCCTGTGCTCGTACTTGAGGGCATTCCGCCCGCCTTGGCTTTTCCGTCGAATCTTCTTCAGCTCGGCCTGAGACTTCTCCAGGGAATCGAGCTTATTCCTGTGCTCTGTCTGGTACCGTTTCAGGGTGGCCTGCAAGGTAAACGTGGCACTTACCTCATGGCAGCAGCAAGCACACCCGCAGGCAGCTCTTCCGCTAACGTTCCCACGGGGCGTGGCTGGCCTGCGCCTCACTTCACACCCCCCCAACCCCGCACAC